CACTCAGACGCCATCAACAACAGTTCTCTGGAGTTAGGACAATAACGTAATCTGTTGCAGTTTCCTTGGAGATACCTGCATGTGTGAGCGTTACCAGGCAACAGGCTTGAGTAATAGTGACTGCAGCATCTAAAGATGACAAAATAATACCAATGAGATATAGTCATGTTACCCCAGTGATATGGAAATGATTTTATTATATTTTAAATAATTTTCTTTTTAATAATAAATCAGGGTGAAACCCTAGAAAACCATTGCTAATGGCCAACAAGTAGTCCCACTCATACCTCCCTGGAGAACCACAACTTTGTGTTGTTACACCACCTTTTGTACAGATTACATCAACAAGATATAATGTGAACTAGTGAGCTTTAGGTGGGCTTGGAGGGGAAATTTGTTATTTGTGGACAAAGCCTGGCTAGTTGTTTCCAGCCTCTATACTAAGATGACCATGCTTTACCAGCTTTATATCTACTGCACATAATCAATATTTTCATCTAATCTGCAACAAAGGCAACCCTAAATGTCAAACTATTCCTTTAATATTCAAGATACGGTGTTTGGTGTCCGAACACCTTAACAAATGCCATCTCCCTTTTCCAGACCTATGTGGACTATATGAGCCGACTATATGAACGAGAAATCAAAGACTTTTTTGAGGTTGCCAAGATAAAGATGGCGGGTACATCCAAGGAAGCAAAGGGCAAGTTTGGTAAGATTCACCAGCCCTGTTACTGTAGAGACATGAAGTGTGTTTGTCTGCTGCAGTTAATGTTAGTATGAGTTTGTATTAACATCTGTTTTTGTCCCATCTTACAAACACTCAAAAGCAGCCTGAATTGCACTGTACCTCCAGACTGTTTTGTCCAGTATTTGTGTTACACTGTCACAGACTTAATGAAATACCCATGTATAACTATAAAAACCTTATTTCTTTACAGCCATTTGTGCATCACATCTGTTGGCAGAAGCATATTTGCCCCTAGCTTACACTCACCGGCCACTTTATTAGGTACACCCATAAAATTGTATGCAAATCAGTGCAACACTTCCACCTTAACATCTGTGTTTATGAAGCTCAAAATGTTTCAGTTTTTGGTGCAATTGTCATAAATGTATAAATTCAGTCCTATGTTTATTATTGAGGTCATAGTTAAAGGTGGTGGTGTACTGGACTACATTATATTCAGAGGTGTTCCTAATATTCTGACCTTCTCATGTATGTACCTGGGGAGGCCAAAGATATAGAGACACCTCCTTATAAGTGTTCTGCCATAAGGTCCTGCCTGTTGTTTCACTGTTTGATGTCTCTTTTTCCCTTTGTACAAGGACCTTGCCTGCTCAGTTCTCTGCTTGTTTGAATATTTAAAATCCAAATAGGCTGAATTATAAAACATTGCTGTATAAATCCATATTAGCTTTTTCCTTCTGAAAACAAACAAAAAAGATTTTTTCCAAAGGTTTGTCCAACGCTTTAAGCATATGTTTCTTCTAAGCCACTGCAGTGCACGTCAGCATATATGTAACTTTGTACATCTAATGTCAAGCCTCACCCCTCTCATGCTGCATGTTTTAAGCCTAACCTGTCTCTGTCTTTGATACCTGCCTTTCTAACTGGCTGCAGCCACGCTTCCGCGGAAAGAAAGTGCACTCAAACAGGAAACAGAAAGTAAGTATGGCATCTGGATAGCGCTTGTTCCACTGTCAATTGCCCACTCTGCTTCTTACCATTGTGTCATACATAACTGCACTAAAAGGAGTCCTTTGCTCAGACTCCTCCTCTATCCAGATATTTACCACTTGAAGCTCTACAAACCATTACCTCACATTGTACCTGGTCGGTTTGTGCTAAATGTTCACAGTGCAGCTTAATGCATCATCACACATTATGAGTCTATAATGAATGACTGCAAAAGCTAACCATCAATACCCATGTTGTTTTTGATTGATACCACTTAAATTGACTTACACAAGTCTGCATGATGTTCCCAAAACAAGGCTTACTGGCACTAAAAACACTGAATTACACTGTATTTGTTGGGCTGTCTTAGGCCTTCATGGTAGCTCGGGGAAGCTAACAGGCTCTACCTCAAGCCTGAACAAGCTCACGGTGCAGGGCCCCAACAGCAGGCGTTCCCAGTCCTCATCACTGCTGGATATGGGAAACATGTCCGCCTCCGACCTGGACGTAGCAGACAGGACCAAGTTTGACAAGGTGATGTGGCAGAGATATAGAAATTCAACATTTAGATGTTGAATATAAATAAATGTGTGTACACATCTTGTTCTTTACTGAGATAGTAAATGGAGCATTTTGTGTTTGTTTGGTTTGCAGATATTTGAGCAGGTCCTCAGTGAACTTGAACCTCTGTGCCTTGCAGAGCAAGACTTCATTAGCAAGTTCTTCAAACTGCAGCAGCACCCAATAGTTACACCCCCTCTTGCTCAGGTAAATATATGATCACATACTGGAAATAGCTGTGACAGATCAAATAACATGCCACCTAGTCATTAGCAACATACACAAAGTCTAGTTACTAATCCAGAAGAATAATGTTACCTCACTTCATGTTAATGGATGTTTGCTGCTGTCTGATGCTGCATCGTTTATCCCCCTGAAAGCATAAAATAATATAGCAATAGCAGCCACGGGCATGTTTTTGATTACAGCATCATTTATGTTCACGCCAGAAAGTGTTTGTTTAGATCTGCCATGTTTTATGTCTGTCATCCTGTCAGCCAGAAACAGAGGAATCAAATGGAGGCACACTGTCAAGAATTGCTCCCCAGGCAGAACACAGACACTCCTTGTCATCAGAGTGAGTAGTTGCACATCATTAGCTAACAGTTACGCTGAAAGGACCACCCATCTTTATAGCAGGAAATATTTTTCAGATTTCCTATGCAGCACACCCTTCTCCTTATTCCAGTTCTGGCTGCCCATTTTCCCCCAACTTTGTCTTTCTGTGACTCAGAAAAGACATGGTGCGGCTGATGATGAATAAAATCTTCCAGAGCATCGAGACGGAGCTCAACAGTCTCATCGCTTTGGGTGACAAGATTGACAGCTTCAACTCTCTGTACATGCTGGTGAAGATGAGTCATCATGTGTGGACCGCTGAAAACGTTGACCCGGCCTCTTACCTCAGCACTACTTTGGGAAATGTGCTGGTCACTGTCAAGAGGAACTTTGACAAATGCATTGTGAGTGGGCTTCACACAATGGCGAGAATTCACATCTCCTTTTCCTCTGTTTTTGTCACCACTTCCCTAAATTAAAGTATGGTTTGTGTCAGTGAAATCACATATTTTTACTTGAGAACTTACTAAATCCCTGTTTCTTTATAGTCTGGTCAGATCAAACAGATGGAGGAGGTGAAGATTTCAAAGAAAAGCAAAGTTGGTATCCTGTCTTTTGTTACCGTGTTTGAGGAGTTTGCTGAGTTGGCTGAAACCATCTTCCGTAGTGCAGAACGCCGAGGTGACCTAGATAAAGCTTATGTCAAACTCATCAGGGCTGTTTTCATGAATGGTGAGACCTCTAGTCTTCCACAGTTCAATATTGTTTGGCTAATTGACCCAGAAGCACAGGTCTGAATTTTTATTGTCTTTTTCCAGTGGAGAAGGTAGCCAATGAAAGTCAGAAGACACCACGGGATGTCGTGATGATGGAGAATTTCCACCACATCTTCTCCACGCTGTCACGACTGAAGATCTCCTGCCTGGATGCAGAGAGAAGAGAGGCCAAACACAAATACACAGACCATCTGCAGTCCTATGTAATCAACTCTCTGGGTCAGCCTCTAGAAAAACTCAATGTAAGTCTGAATACCTTATCACAGAGTTGGCACAAAATTTCATGTTCGTGGAAATGAATGACCTCTTACTGAGTGGTTTTATTTAGTGCATCATAGATAAACTGTTGGTTACTGTCTCTTGCTTGCAGCATTTTTTTGAAGGAGTTGAGGCGCGTGTAGCCCAGGGTGTACGTGAGGAGGAGGTGAGCTACCAGCTCGCCTTCAACAAACAGGAGCTGCGCAAAGTTATCAAAGAGTATCCTGGCAAAGAGGTGAAAAAGGGACTCGACAACCTTTACAAGAAAGTTGATAAACATCTGTGTGAAGAGGAAAGTCTGCTGCAGGTGAGAGTTATAGTTTTAAGTGGTTAAACTGTCCAGTTGTTGGGAATCGTCGCATTCTTCATCCTGTCTCTAAACTGTTGCTCCACCAGGTGGTGTGGCACTCCATGCAAGACGAGTTTATCCGTCAGTACAAGCACTTTGAAGACTTGATCGGCAGATGCTACCCTGGATCTGGCATCACCATGGAGTTTACTATCCAGGACATGTTAGAGTACTTCTCCAGCATCGCTCAATCGCATTAGCTGCTATGCACTGTTGAATAGTAATTCACTACTGCCTCACACTGGCTGAACATACACTAGCTACTCATAAACTGCCCTGTAATGTGTTTTTGGACAATGGACATTTCCTTTGTGTGTCTGTGTATTTTAATGAGAGATTTGTACATTGGTTAGTGGTGCAGAAACCTCTGCATTATGTGGATGCCTGTTTATTTGGAATGTATCAACTCCGCTCAGAATAATTACTTGCCTTGTTATACTTTATGCCATATGTAATAAAATTGCATTTGCCAACCCATTCAATAATTTTGCACCAACTTTTAATTGTTTTTCTAGTCTTGGTGTCTTTAGGGTATTTTCTGTCTCTTTTTAGTGTACTTTTTGATAGTCTTGTATGTCTTTGTAGCTGTTTTGCATCTATTTTTCTGATTTTATTGCTTTAACAGAAAGGTTAATAGTCCCTTCACGGTTTTGCGATCTGGGGCCCCTAGATAAATTAGGCTTCAGGGCCTATGCCCGGAAAGCCCGCAGAGTAATCGATCCATGAGCCTTTCCATGCTTGAGAAAAATCTATGTAACTCCGCCCGTCCGAATTCGGTACGGACAACACTGGTGCACAAAACACGCTGCTCTACGAGTCTCACTTCCATGGTGACGAATCCAAACCGGAGGTGATCGGCGCTCTTTTCAAACGTTATTACCGCGGAAATATGTTAACTCACGTTGCCTAGCTAACTAATGGAGATCAACATGTAACGCTTTAATGAATCTAGTGCAAGTTATTGGTTCAAGTGAGGTGTTTATGTCGGCGTTGTAGTATTAAGGTGACGTTGGTGAGGCTAACGTTAGCTGTCAATAAAGCAGAGCAAGGTAAACTGGAAGGTTCCTGGTATTTAATGCTAGGTAACTGGTTAATGGTAATGAAACGGTGCTGACTGGTGGACTGGTGCTGACTGGTGCTACCTGTTATGACAGAGCCGAACAGCAGGTATCTCAGTAGTTAAAGCTAGAACTGAATGCTAATGTTTGTGACTTTGTTAAGCTAGCTACCCAATGTTACTGTTAGCAAATATTAAACATCTATTTAGTAGCTACGTTATTATCGCACTCTAAGATAAACATGCGACCTTACAATTTTCTTAGTTTATTTCACATTATAGCAATTAGCTTTTGTATTTAGCTACTTTGCTAACCAATATAAACGTTGCTATGTTGTGTCACGACAACTTTACTGCCACATCGCAGCCATGAACAGCAGCGCAGAGAGGAAATTCGTCAATTTGCGGAAACGTCTAGATCAACTGGGATACCGACAACCACTGGGGATTGAGTCACTGCCACTAGTGGAGAAACTATTCAGGTGGAACATTTTAACATGTTCTTCATCCCTTATATCTGCCAGTCAGTCACAGCTGGCCAACTGTATTTGAGGCATGCCTTTCTTTGTGTTACAGTGATCTGGTCCACACAACTGAGAGCCTGCGCAATGCCAAACTGTCGGCAGGGAAGACTGAGAAAGAAAGCCGAAACGTTGATGCTCTTCTGGAGCCGTACAGGGCAGAGAATTCCCGGGTGGTAAAGGAAAACAATGAGCTGCACCTTGAATTGCTCAAGTTGAAGGAGGAGAAAGATCGGGTCACCAGAGGTAGATAACCAAGCAGCCTCCCACCTCAACACAATCTGAAACATTTTCCCACATCAGTGACCCACAGACTGGTTTGACGACTCCACACAATCCTGTTTTGTTTCAGAGCTCAAGACGCACGTCAGAAAGCTAGACCATGAGACATCTGACCTTAAGTTCTTAAATAATCAGTATGTGCACAAGGTTCGCAGCCTGGAAAAGGACAGTAAAGCTAAAGCTGAGCGCATCCAACAGCTGCAGGAGAAGAACCTGCAAGCTGTTGTGCAGACACCAGGTAAACGCAAGGGACCTGACTTATAACCTATTGAAAGTAATATTTATCTTTTTTATATTTTCATATGTATTTTTCAGCTAAAAATATATGGTTGCACTACTTTCCTCTTGTTTTAGTGCTTACACCTTATATTTCTTGTGAAAGACAGATCTGAATTTACTGTATTTGACTATTAAAGACCAAACTAAATCAGATATCAATTATGGCTCAGAAGATAGATCCTCTGTTCCTCTTGCTCCCTTTCACAGGTGGAAAAAAGCGCAGCATTCCCTTCAGACGTCAGAGAATGCAGATTGATGAGCTCATACCTCCCTCCTCTACATCAGCTTATCCTGTGTTGCAGCCTGATGATCCGTATGTAGCTGACCTGCTGCAGCTGGCAGATGGGAGGTTTGTTTGGTTTTTTTTCTATGTTTACTGTATCACGGAGCGAAGCGGTCACTGCTTGATGGTTGTAGATGTTTGCATTTGCGATTAATTAAGTATTTGTGTAAATCTGATTTTACTTTGAAGAATTCATGAGCTACAGGAAGACATCATCAAACTGAAATTAGACCTGGAAAATGCTCAGGAAGTTATAAAGCACTTAAATACTCAGGTATGAAATACATGAACTAAAAAAGCATTTAAAATTCTGATGTGATAGATGTTACTATGGGGGTCTTTAGATGTTATATTATCATTTACTTCTATTAGGTGGAGGAGAGGGATGAAGAAATTGAGCGTTTGAATCGTGCACTTCATGGAGGACGACCTCATGATGTGATATCCCTCGAGGCTCAGAACATAAGCAACGAAAAACTGATTTCCCATCTTAACCTTCAGGCAAGCATAGCACTCATACATACAGGACCTTACCCTGACGTATAGATTCATAATGTAGAAAATGAGATCAGGGAAAGTGTTATCAGCTGTGACCTGTTGCTTTGTGTTACAGATTGAGTACCTGCAGGAGACCAACAGGACACTGGAGAAGAAGGCAGAGGGACTGCAGCAGAAGAAGATGGATGCCTCCACAGAGGTGGCCAATCTGTCTTTAAAGAACCTGGAACTGTGTGAGGAACTGACACACATAGATGATCTTGCAAAGCGGCTGGAAATGGATAAAGAATGGGTGTTGGAAACTGCTAATGTGGAACTACAAGAAAGTAAAGTAAGAATATGAGACGATGGAGAGAAAGACAAAATGAAAATGTATCGCATTTACAAGCAGTGTGCTGTCAGTGTTTTAGTTAACAAAATGTGAGTTAGCACAGTTCAAGACAAACCTCAAAATTCAAGTCTATTTTCTCAATAGAAAGAAATTCAAAGGCAACAGAAAGTCATTGAAGACTTGGAGGATATCATCACAAAAATGAGAAGGGTGTGTACAGTATATATATTCTATACTCTATGTATTTTCCCTTTTGGGATTCTGCCACATTTTAGTTTAGATTTGGTATTCATCAGTGAATACAAATTGTCCTTGCCAAACATCAATTTGTATATTCCACAAGCTAAAACATAATCTATTGGAAATGGTTGAATTCAGGGGCAGTCTGAAGGTGATTTTGAAAAAGACCGTCTCAGCGACCAGCTGGTGGAGCTCAAAGAGCAGACTGAGAAGATGGAGGGCCTGGTCAATTTCCTGGAAGGGGAGAAAATCAGGCTGCAGGATAAAGTGGAGAAAATGATGGCAGCTGGTAAACTGTTAACTTGGTTAACTGTTTGATGCTAAAACAGCTTTGCATCGTTTACACGCATGTGTTACTCTGTCCTAGACAAAGAGATTGTGCTGGAGTTGGAGAGCATGCGGACTAAACATGGTGTTTGTGGAAGGGAACACTCCCCGTCACGTCTGGATGCATTTGTCAAGAGTCTAGAGGAGGAGAGGGATTACTATCGCCAGGAGGCTGAGCGCTACAGAAGAGCCAGAGGGGCTGGTGGTCTGGGCGCAAGCCCCATTCGCAGTCCAGGCAGGGGAAGAAGTAGAGTAAGAGACCACAATACATTTGGTGACTTTTTTGTTTAATGACATCTTAGGCCATTTCTCCTTAGACAGTATGATGCTTACAAATTTTCAGGGAGGTGTTGCAGAGGCAGAACTGCTTCCTTTACTAAAGGAGAGGGATGAGCTGAAGGCTGCTCTGTTGGAGTTTGAGAAGCACACGGAGGACATCCAAAACAATGTGAAGGCCCTCAGCGCTGAGAGGGACCATTTCAAAACCCTGTTTAAACAGGTGAGTTGTGATAACATTGAATTATTAGCTTTGTCTTTGAAATCACTTATTTTACACTTCTAAAGGCCAAATGATGTTGTGCATACAGGCTCAAGAGGACCTGAAGCTGGCTCATAGCACAGATTTGTCAGCTGATGTCATGAAACTACAGGAGGAGATGAAACAGGCAGAAATCAAAATCCAGCGGATGGCCACTGAAAGGGAGGCACTCATGGAGAGATTAAAGGTTCATCCCAGAGTAATTTTGTGCACGGTGCACATGAGTCTGCTGCACCACTTTAGTCGTTTACATAGATGCATCAATAAGGCAACAGCAAAGTACATTGTCTTATGGTCAGGCTGTAATTTTAATAGCTTTTGCATATCTTGAAGATTTAATTTTCTAGAATCTGCAACCATTAGTCACTTTTTTATGATTTTAAATTGAATTTATTTGGGTTTAGACTAATGGTGGGACAAAAGAAGACATTTAAATAAAAGTCTATTTTTCTGATCAGTTAATTGAAAAATAATCCACTAGTTTATTGAGAGATAAAAATAACTTAATTGCAGTCTTAGTTGAATCTGTCTTTTGTTCATCTTTACTCAAACTACATATTTTGATAACATAGAATGGACACCACTAAGCCTAACACTAAATACCGAAACATGCTGCAGGTTGCCCAGACTTCAGCTGGCACTGACAGACAGGGAGAGGAGCGGAGGATACTGGTTTTGGAGAGTGCCATTAAGAATGTGAGCCTGACTGATATTTCAATAAATCTGCTCAAACATTTCTCCATGTAATGTTCACCAACGTAACACGGTCCTAAATAGCGTCCTGTTGCCGTTTCTTTCGACCTGGCTTATCGTGTGTTTTGTGGTGTAGTTAGAGCAGGAGACACTGGACCTGCGGTCACAGGTGTGTCTGCTGAAGGAGAACCGGGCGGCTGTGGAGGAGGAGCTGAAGGTGCAGTCTGCTGCTCTGGTCCAGAAAGCAGAGGAGGTGGCCCAGCATAGGGCTGAGACCAGCACTCTGAGGTTTGTGTTGAAACAAAATGGAGTTTAAATGTAAAAAAAATATAATGCCAGTGATTTTTCTGTTATTTTTCACAAATCCCATACAGACTAAAACCAACAGTGAACTTTATCAGTCACGTTTTTACAGTCACTGACAAGTTTCTCTTTTTGTGCATTTAGTGCTACACATAACGTCGACAGACAGGGTCTTTGATTCAGCTAAGTTTTTGAAAAACAGTGGATTGCTCCAGCACAGACCAATGAGCTAAACCAGGCTCTATAATCACAGATATTACAGTGAGTACATGAAATGTTTTGTTTTAGTCTTTGCATGGATTTGTGGAAAATAGCAAAAACAGAGAGAATCACTGGCCCTGTACTTTAATAATATGAGCATAAAAACAATGATGTGTAACTTCTATCTGCAGGATACACTTACATCGCATACATTTTAAAATATAAAAAGTTCAACCAAAGCAACTGTGTCTTCCCTCTGTACCTTCCCCCCCGACACTTGCTATTGTTCCAGTTGACGTGGGGGGGGGTTTTTTTTTTTTTTTTTTTTTTTGGCAATGTGTTAGACAAGGACTGATGGACTCTTTCCTGTCTGTCTGCAGGCTGCTACAGGCGCAGATGGAGCAGTCATTGTCTGACACTCAACACAGGCTATCTGTGAAGATGAATGAGTTGCATGCTTCCCATGAACAGATTAAGAAACTGGAGGATAAAATAGGTGAACTGTGGATTTAATAAGGTTTAGGGTGAACTGCTACCTTTAGTGTTGTATTGTTAAAGCACAATTTTTCCCTCAGGTTAAATGGGTGTTTGCTTGGTTTACATTTTTCTGCCAGGGAAGCTGAGTCAGTGGGACTCCAAACACAAGGAGGAAGTGGCTGTTCTGCAGAAGTCGATCTCTGCCCTGGATAAAGAGAAAGACACTCTGCTGGAGGAGGTGGATCAAAAGACTGAGAATCTGGTTGCTCTTCAGGAAGAGCTGTCTAATAAGGTATTTTCATCAAGAAAACAAATTTATATTAAAAGATTCCTTCACATTTCACATGCCCATTTGAATGAAGGTTATGGCTCCTCTGTGGGCTCCTCCTGTCTGTACTAGCCTTTTGGCTGCAGCAGTTCTAATGTACAGTACATGATGAGGGACAAAAGCCACAGTCCTGTTTCTGTGGGAGAAAAAGATACATTTTTATGCCTAACCAAACTTCATGTGGGCCCTCAGCAGTTGCTTTTAGTCAAATCAAGTGAGTATCCTTCAGATTTACTGTAGTTTTAGTACAAAATATGTCCTCATTTCTCCTGTCAGTGGAAAGAGAAACGTTTGCACATTAACTTGGGAAGAAGCAACATGATTTCACTAACTCAGACTGCTGAAGCCTCATTTTAACTTGAAATAAGCTCTGGAATTTTCTGTAGGACAACTGTGAATTTTGTCCCTCATCATTTACATTGGAATCAAACAGTAAGGCCAGTATGAACAGCA